TCGATCCTGCTCTTAGCTCTTGTCGAACCCGCGGTGGCCGTTCCACGAGTCGTTGCCCCAGCGGCGCTCGTAGCCCTTACCCGTGGCGTCCGAGGTAGGAGAAGTGGAAGAAGAAGTGGGCCGAAGGTGGCGTCGCCAAACTCGCAAGACTGCTCGAACCGCTTGAGCAGAAACACTCCACGGCGCAGCACGGGCAGCATCAAGGATGAGGTCTACGGGGTGCCCCAGCAGGAATAACTCTAGTGCAAACTCAAGAGCCCAGCCCGTCGTGACCCCCATGGACACTTTAAGATACTGGGAGCGGGTAAACCTGCTAGAGTACACAGGGACCACCATGGCAAACTTGCGTGGGGGCTGGCCTGGCCACGTGATGATGTTAGCACGGGGGCGGGTATCCACGTCACCTGCTAGCCATGGCCCGTTGAGGCTCTTGGGCAAGACCAGGATCTCAGGGCCGACCACGCGGAGCTCAAGATCAACCCATATGCACGGTTCTGCAGGGCCCACGATTGTGGGAACCGCACTCCGGCGTATGGGATAAACTTCTTGTAGGTGAGCATAGGTGCACGCACGGCACTAGTGAGTACTCATCCCAAGAATGTCATCCACATAGCGACACTGACCTAAGCGGGGGCCTATCTTGTTCACGGGGCCGGCAAAACCCAGCAGCACCCAGCCGAGTCTCGTCCTCGAGGGCCTGGAACTAAAACCAGCACATGAGCACTGAGAGGGCAACATTAGACAGGACGCCACCTCTGGGGAGCCCCATTCATCTCATACATGCACAAATTCGCTGAGCACCCCGCTCACCCGTAGCTGGGTTGCGTCTGCAACCACAGCGTTGGGCGCGCGCCGAAGCCTGCGCCGCGCCGAGAGGGCGCGGGCGCCACGAGGCCTCGGCGCTGGTCGCAGCACGACCCAGCAACGGGCGAGAAACGGGGCGGGCACGGGCGGGTCAAATCCCGAGCGCGGGGCGCGCGCCCCAGGCACACACAAACCTGTGGTACCTGCGCGCGGCCGCGGCGGGCAGCGGCCGCGCGCGGGGGCGCGCGGGCCTGCCCACATCGCCTGCGGCGCGCCGCGGCGCGCGCGAGCCAAGCGGCGGCGCGGCGACTGCTCGCGCCCGCGTCCGCCGCGTGCGCCTGGGGCCAGCGAATGCGTGCGATGGAACCAGGGGCCGAACTCGTTCCATGCACGCAAATTCGCTGAGCACCCCGCTCACCCGTAGCTGGGTTGCGTCTGCAACCACAGCGTTGGGCGCGCGCCGAAGCCTGCGCCGCGCCGAGAGGGCGCGGGCGCCACGAGGCCTCGGTGCTGGTCGCAGCACGACCCCATGCAACGATGCGACCAGCGCCGTGCGCCGCTCACCCGTTGCGCACGCGGAGCGCGGCGCTCGGGCGCGCGCCGGGATGTCGCAGCCACACTAGGCGTCTGAGCTGCTGTCAGAGCTGTCCGAGCAGTCGGACGCGGCGTTGCGCGCGGCCGCTACCCTCTCACTTTCGACCCGGACGCGGTCGATGTGAGCCAGGTAGGCGTTCGACGCCCAGCCTCCACGTTCCTTCGTTACTGCGGTCGGTGCACCCGCGCGATCGATGTCATCGGCGTGCCCCCTTGTGCGCGCGAGAGGGGTGGAGGGATGTGCGCGCCGAGCCGCGCGGGCGGTCGCGGGTCGCGACCTTCGTATGTCGTGGGTGCCGAATAGGTTGGCACTGAGCACAAGCCCCAGCAGAAATAACTCTAGTGCAAACTCAAGAGCCTTGCCCGTCGTGGCCCCGATGGACACTTTAAGATACTGGGAGCGGGTAAACCTGCTAGAGAACACAGGGACCACCATGGCAAACTTGCGTGGGGGCTGGCCTGGCCACGTGATGATGTTAGCACGGGGGCGGGTATCCACGTCACCTGCTAGCCATGGCCCGTTGAGGCTCTTGGGCAAGACCAGGATCTCAGGGCCGACCACGCGGAGCTCAAGATCCACCCATCTGCGCGGTTCTGCAGGGCCCACGATTGTGGGAACCGCACTCCGGCGTATGGGATAAACTTCTTGTAGGTGAGCATAGGTGCACGCACGGCACTAGTGAGCACTCATCCCAAGAATGTCATCCACATAGCGACACTGACCTAAGCGGGGGCCTATCTTGTTCACGGGGCCGGCAAAACCCAGCAGCACCCAGCCGAGTCTCGTCCTCGAGGGCCTGGACCTAAAACCAGCACATGAGCACTGAGAGGGCAACATCAGACAGGACGCCACCTCTGGGGAGCCCCTCCATCTCATACATGATGCCACCTAGCGAGACGAGAGAGATCCAAGAGAACGCCACTTACGCCTTGTGTATGTGGTGCACCGAAATCTTGGACCAGCCAGGAGGGTCGAGCCTGTCCAGGGCTTGGTCTGAGGAGTCCGAGCCTGCTTAACGAGAGTGGCATCCGCTCCGAGCCCCCTTGCAACCTCAGACGCCACGCCTGTCCACGCCTGAGACACTGCTGCTGCGCTGCACTGTTCAAAGGCTTGGTCCGCATCTGCTACTACCACACTGGGCTCTGACAAGTGTTTGGTACAGCGCCCACGGCGCGTTCCTAGTTTCTGAGGACGGGAGTCACGGAGTCGGCGAACCTCGTCAGCTGCGTGGTTGGTGTTATAGACCTCCGAAGTCGCCTCGCTCCTGGATGGGAGGTCACGTGCTGCTCGGCCGACGATCTGAAACCAATCTGATCCTGGGGCCTGGGAGCAAGTGATCACCCTTTGAAGGCAACTATGAAAGGGCTTGCAACATGTTCGCTGTCCCGGAGGGGAAAAGCATTTTCCCTTGACTGTCGGGGAAACATGCGGCGGCTTCGTGTCCGCCGAGGGTGGGGGCATCAAGCGTGGGGTGTACAGCCAGGGCGGCAGCGCCGCCACCGCGCGGCCCCACGTCCACGCGGCGGCGTCGCGCGGCGAGATGTCGAGCCTGAGGTTCCAGTCGGGGTCCGACATGGCCAGCCAATGGAGGTGCCTCATCAGGTCGCAACCGTCGCATGCCCACACTTTGTCGCACTCTCTGTTATCAACAATGATCACGCACTCATCGGCCTCGCCCAGACTCGTAGACACATCGCGTTCGACCTGCTGCCGAGCTGGCGGAAGGGGCAGGTGGCGCTATCCATTGGTTCGAAATCCACTGCCGTAGATGCCGAAAGCCGCGCTGCAGCACGCGGGGGGGGGGCCCAGACCCCCGACGTCATGATTTTTTCATGACGCGACCCCCAGAGGTCCAGACCCTTTCCCTATGACCGGTTTTTCATCCTGAGTCGTTTTTCGACGCTCCCGCGGCCCGGTGAGGACCTCCAGAGGGGGAAAATAGAGAAAAACCTCCCGTCGTGATTTTTTCATGACTCGAGGAGGTCTGGGGGGGGGGATGCGCGCCTTGGCCGCCCACGCGCTCCGCGCCTCCCGTGCCTCGCGCAATGCCCGTGCGCGGGCGAGGTCGCGCCGGTGACCGCCTAGGGCCGCCCGGGCGGCGCGGGCGCCGCGGGGCTGACGGTGGCCCCGCAGGCGGGCGGGGGAGTGCCACGGAGGTGCCGTCGGCCCAGAAGCGGCTCGCAGAATCGCGGTCCTTCCAGCAGGGTGCCTTGCTGTAGGTAGCACGTGGGGGCCGACGGTGGACTTCTCGCGTCGGCGCAGGCTTCATCGTCGATGCCGCGTGCGCGGTCGCTGCGCTAACCCACCTGCGGTACTCGGCGTCCTGGAAAACAGCTAGCAGGCGCAGTGGTGGCCGACGCGCGCTAGGGGGCCGAAGCCGTCGGAGGCGTAAGTCGATGTGATACATGGCCATCCGCTGCCTATGGAAGGATCTCAGGAAGTGCCCCGCCATCGAGGCCGCCAAGCATAGACGGGCGCCAACCTCCAAGCGGGCGAGGGAGGTGAAGACGGGCAAGTCCTTCCACTTGGCCGCCAGGAAGGCCAACAGGAGCCCCAGTCTGCGGCCCTCGAACAGCCAGAGGGGGCCGATCTGGCCCGTCAGGTGGTAGCGTTCGGAGATCTGGAGCTGGTAGAGGACCCCGAACGGTGCCGACTCCGACAGGGCTCCTGGGTAGGCCGCGGAGACGTCCTGCTCGGCGCCGTTCGAGGCCATCTCCTGAGCCGCCGTCAGGGCTGTGCTCGCCCAGGCAGGTGCGCCCGTGGCCGCGCCGATGGCGAGCGCCTCGAAGTGGAAGGACGCGCACAAGTAGGAAAACAGCGATCCTAGGCTGCGGCGAAGAACTCGGTAGCGTGGTCGGCGACCCGGGCCAACGCGGGGGCGGAACACTGCGCGCGCACGTTCGGCAACTCGGCCCAGTAGACTGGGGAGCGCCGTGTCACGCAGGAGGGCCTTTGAAGGGGAACTGGGACACACAAATAAATACACACAAATAAAAAATCCCAATATTTTCCAATCTTTTCTGGGTGTCTGTCTTCCCCCCCGCTGCCCATAGTTTCCCATATTCTCTGGGAGTCGACGATTAATTGTGTCTGTGTTTTTTCCCCTCCTGGGCCTTGCCAGTGCACAGTCCGCTGCGGCTGCCGAGCACACGAACCACGGCTCGGGCCTCCGTGCGCGGAGGGCCGAGGCAGCGCCCAAAGATGTGCAAGAGCAGAGGACGCTCCCAGTCTTGGAGGGCAGCGCGGAGGTCGGGGGCAACTATTTGGACGCCCGAAATGGGCACGGAAAGAATGGGTACTATGCCCAACAACAAATGTTGTCCCAAGCCAACAGCGGCCGCTGTTGGGCAGGCGGCCTTCTGTCTCAAATGAACACAGGCCGCGTCGGCGCGGACAGCGAGTCCTGTTCAAAATGAACAGGAACTGTTGTTGGGCATCGTACCCATTCTTTCCGTACCCATTTCGGGCGTCCAGATCTTGGAGGGCAGCGCGGAGGTCGGGGGCAACTATGGACAGGATCTTCTTGGCCCATGACGGCGTTCGTCGTTGAGCCCGCGCGCGTCGCAAGCGGCAATACCCAGCATAACCAATTCAAAGCCTATCACACTCCATAGGTCGACTCCTCGTAGTGGACTGAAGAGTGGCCTCGGTGGGCCAGCGACATATTCCAACAAAAAGACATGAGGCTAACCAAGCGCGGTGCAGCATGGCGGTGCCCATGCTGTGGCCATATCCATTGCCGCAGCCGGCTGGCTGCTTCATCCAGGGGAAGGGCTGCTGTACGGCATAGCGCACTCTGAATTAGGGAAACGCAAAATTGTGGTCCTGCATGCGGTGCAGGGGGGGGCGGCCAGCGGACCATGAAGCGCTCCTTGACCTCCTCGGAGGCCACGGGCCCCACGACCAGCGACCGCTCGACGAGGTCGACCACGTCGTCGGTGATGTTCATGTCGACGTTCATGTTCATCACATCTCTGATCTCCTCGTGAGGCTCCCGCTGGATGCCCCAGTGCCAGGTCTGGCTGTCTCTGATGCTCTCCTCTATCATGGCCCCCATGAAGGACTGGTGCAGGAAGCCCAGGTTGCCCTGGTAGAAATCGCAGTAGAACATCGAAACCTGATGAAGGGAAGCTGTCCATTGTACTCTGGGTCCAAGAAAGTGTCGGAGTCCCCTTGCGCTGCCATCCTGCATCAGGATATAAGTGAGGTCTGTCATTCACTGTCGAAAAAAGGGGAAGAGGTACTGCACCGCCTCACCAGAGGCTGGTGAAACACAATAATATGGGAACGCCCAGTCGCAAGACGGCACGTGACCTCTGGATCCCCGTCGCCTCGCGGCCGTGTCGAACCAGATGGCAAGAGAGTCACTGTTTGCGTGAATGATATCAGGAGTTCCACTATCCACCGGAAGGCGTCAAGCAGCTGTGACCACCATCGAGGCTATGATCGTCACGTGGGCCTCAATGGTCCCTGGTATGGTTCAAGCCCGAGACAGCAGCGGTGCAGCACGCGCAGATGGAGAGCAAGCAAACACACGAGTAGGAGGAGCAAGGAATATATAGAGGACTTATGGGCGGGTGAGACAGAGAGAGAGAGGAAACAAAAAAGGAGAGACAACAAAAAAAGCAAGAGCAAGTCAGAGAGAGAGAGAGAGATAAAGAGAGCGCGAGTGGGGGACGGGGACGGAAGGAGAGGAGGCGAGGGGGCAGAGCAAGGGGCTGGGTGGGGGCGAGGAAGAAGGAGCGGGGATGCCACCCTCTTTTTCATCATAACCTGCTGACGGATCGTGCCCTCGCCCGAGGCTTCCTTACACAATGCTGAAAGGTCACACGCGCTCGCGGGAGACTTCCTCAAGGGTTGGCTGCGCTCTCAACACTAGAGAATCGCGCTCTCGCCGAACAGTTCCTTGCAACGTACGGAATAGGCTCGTTTGTATCAGAGCTGGCTGTCTTTGGGCTTCCTTCTGTGAATGTGCTGCACTTTGCAAGCACCTGGACCCTTAAAATTCTACTGCGGACCCACTCCCTCCTCCCTCCTCCCCCCTCATGTTCACATTCCTCCCTCCTGCGTCCCCCGTGCGACTTCCCTTTCGAGGGTCTGCATGTGCGTTTTCGTGTGTTCTCTCACCCTGTCGGGCTGCACCCAGGAGAAAGACGAAGGGGTGGGCTCATGTGCGTAGGTGGCGTGTACCATGGACAAGGGGAACACACGAAGGTCAAAGCAGGTTGTTGTGAGATCTCATGTTCGTAATGTGTTGGTTGCTGGCGGGTGCTAATGGTTTAAGTGATGCAAACGTGTTATGTTTGTGTGGTGCAGCGCAAGTGGAAGAGAGGAGGATGGAGAGGCCTAACCTCCTCCTCTCCGCCTCCTCCTCCTCCTCCTCCTCTCCTCCCCCTCCGCCTCCTCCTCCTCTCCTCCCCACCTCCCCAGGCCCCATGTCCTCCTCTCCGCCTCCTCCTCCTCCTTCCATGCTTCCCTCCTTCCGCAAATGATACCCCTTGATGTATTAACGTGTTACCTTTGCGTGGATGGTGATCCCCGCCGCTCAGCAGAAAACCCGGCCCCGCTCTGACAAGGACCACGTGCATCGGCGAAACCAAACAATGAGCAACACATGGCTACACATCATCATCATCATCATCATCATCATCATCATCATCATCATCATCATCATCATCATCATCATCATCATCATCATCATGATCATCATCATCATCATCATCATCATCATCATCATCATCATCATCAGCATCAGCATCAGCATCAGCATCAGCATCATAATCATCATAATCATCATCATCGTCATCATCGTCATCATCGTCATCAGCATCATCATCATCATCATCGTCATCATCATCAGCATCAGCATCATCATCGATATCATCATCAGCATCATCACAGCAGGAGCAGCAGCAGCAGCAGAGGCATCAGCATCAGCATCAGCATCAGCATCATCAGCATCGTCATCACAGCAGCAGCAGAGGCAGCATCAAAATCATAATCAGCATCAGCATCAGCATCATCATCATCACAACAGCAGCAGAGGCAGTATCAGCATCAGCATCAGCATCATCATCGTCAGCATCGTCATCAGCATCATCATCATCATCATCAGCAGCAGCATCATCATCACCATCAGCATCATCATTGGCATCATCATCGTCATCATCATCATCACCATCATCACCAGCATCATCAACATCATCATAATCATTTATCGGCGAGACACAAACGAGCAAATGACACCAATGGACCACTCATGAAATTGCGCGAAACACCGTAAACCCAGGGGGGCAGACACGAAAAGTTTACCGCACAGCAGACCCAACCTAACATGTTTGTCAGCGATGATCCAGGCTGTGGGTTCTTGAAGCCTCGGTGAGCAACCTTTGTGACGCAATATATGTGGTGCCAAATGGGAGGCGAAATCTGCGGGCCTAACATGTTGCAACTTATGAAGTGGAATGTATGACGTGCACCCTACGAGGTGCAAGTAAGTTTGGCCGCATCTGTGCGTGACCGCCTCCAACGCTCGTGCGAACACACCCACCCACCCGCAACCTGTTCGCAAAATTCGATCAGGCGGCGACGACAACGATGATGACGATGATGTTCATGACGACGGTGGTGCCGATGTCGATGTCGACGACGACGACGACGGTGATGGTGATGAAGCTGACGGTGATGATCATGACAGTGGCAATGATGCCATTCGCAATGACGACGCCGATGTTGCTGGTGAAAGCAATAGCATTGTATGTGCGCGCGGATACGCGCGCGTGGCCCGCATGGTGATATTTGACAGAGCTGGCGGGCGTGCGGTGGCTCTTGAACATGTTTGACATTCGTGCGCGTGCGGGCTGATCATATACACTGGCTCAATGCGCGCACGTGCTGATTTGACAGACTCTGGTGAGTGCACTCGCGCAGACGTCGGCGACTTGTTTTTCTTTAGCGGGGTTTGAACTGCTGTGGCTTTAACTTCTTGGGTAGCCCCCGGCTTGTGAATCCCGATCTTGTCGTGCGTGCGCGGCGGCGCGCGCATGTGCCCAACATCGCATCTGGTGCACATGGTTCAATAATGACTACCTACCAGACCACCCCAACCCAACCCGAAGACCCGAATTTCGGGTTGGGGGGGGAAAGGGTTCCACATGTGTTTTTTCTATGTTTCCCGACCCCCCCCCCACTGGAAATCGAGGGTAAATCTGAGCCTTCGGGTTGGGTTGAGGTGGTTTGGTGGGCGGTGAAATAACCACGCACCAAATCAACGCGTGTGTACTGCAGACAGTCGGTCCGTGTCATAAGAATGCGCCGTGGGGATGCGAGGGCCTAGGCGCTCATTTTCGAGCGGGGCGCTGCCGACGAAACTGGCGAAGGATGGACCGAGGAGGCAAGGATGCAAGGGTACCCTTGGGAAGGTTGCCCATCCTTACTGTGCGCGTTGACTGTATTTTCACTTGACAGAGAGGAAGCGGTGGATATCTGCTGGCAGGGAGCAATTCCCCAATCAGTGCATGCACTGAAGGGGTCCCAACGGATATTGAAAAATTTGGCGAAAATGTCCCGCCGATTTTGGTAGTCGACTGGGTTCCCGGGTTCCCGGTTCCGGGTTCCCGGGTGCCTGGTTATTGGTTCGGGGCCGACTCCGGTGGGCTCCGGGTTCCTGGGTTCCCGGTCGATTCCCTTATCGATCTCTGTATCGATCCCATTTCAAAGCATCCACTGATTGGGGTCTTTCGTATCATTTGATCATTTGATATTCTGGACGAACGATCGTGCTCAACAAAATGGAGCACGACACGCGCAGGGGGGGGAGGGGGGGGGGCGTCAGCCCCAGCCTCGGCGTGTGTCGGGGGAGCGGATAGATCTCGCAAGCAGAAGGATTTCACCTCGCTGGCATCCACAAAGGACCACCTCCAATGGCCCACCTCCAAATGCTCCTCCAAAATCTTCAAACATCTTCAAAGACCATCTCCACATGCAAAATGGACCTCCATGGCCCACCTCCAAAAACCATCTCCAAATGCACCTCCATGGTCCATCCTTCAAGGGTCTTAAAAGATGACCACCTCCAGTGCTCGCGCAAACGACGGTTTCTCAGCTGCGCCGCGTCGAGGGCAAACGGGGGTCTTGGCTGGGTGGTCAGCCGATGGGGGGTCCAAACTCGCCCAGGCCAGGTTCGGGCTCGCCACGAGCCTGGCACAACAAAATGCTCCTCCTCAGCGAGGTCCACCCACCCGCCCGCCCACCCGTAACTTGTTCGCAAAACCCGATATGGCGGCGACGGCGGCGATGACGACGTTCATGCCGACGGTGGCTGCGATGTCGACGACCACGATGGTGATGGTGATTAAGCTTGTGGTGATGATAGCGACGTTGGCAATGGTGACTCTGGCGAGCCCCAGGCGGGGCCGATCGTAGAGAGCGGAACGCCAAACAAGACTATGTTTCTACCGTTGTTTGTTTTATTGCACGTAGGGGCTATCACGCGTTCCTCAAGCAGTGGTTGCACCTACGAGTTCTTACCTGTCTTGATGAGGGAGTGGGTGGGTCTGCCGAGGTCTCGCCTGGTGGACGGCCGCAGGCGACTCGTGGGCCCCCCGCACTCTTGGCTGTGTCCTCGGGGTGTCCTCGAGGCGCCCATGGCCGCCTACGTTCGCCTGGTAGGCGGCCAGAGTCATCATTGCCAACGTCGCTATCATCACCACAAGCTTAATCACCATCACCATCGTGGTCGTCGACATCGCAGCCACCGTCGGCATGAACGTCGTCATCGCCGCCGTCGCCGCCATCTCGGGTTTTGCGAACAAGTTACGGGTGGGCGGGCGGGTGGACCTCGCTGAGGAGCATTTTGTTGTGCCAGGCTCGTGGCGAGCCCGAACCTGGCCTGGGCGAGTTTGGACCCCCCATCGGCTGACCACCCAGCCAAGACCCCCGTTTGCCCTCGACGCGGCGCAGCTGAGAAACCGTCGTTTGCGCGAGCACTGGAGGTGGTCATCTTTTAAGACCCTTGAAGGATGGACCATGGAGGTGCATTTGGAGATGGTTTTTGGAGGTGGGCCATGGAGGTCCATTTTGCATGTGGAGATGGTCTTTGAAGATGTTTGAAGATTTTGGAGGAGCATTTGGAGGTGGGCCATTGGAGGTGGTCCTTTGTGGATGCCAGCGAGGTGAAATCCTTCTGCTTGCGAGATATATACGCTCCCCCGACAC